CCACCTGTAGTTTCCTTTAAATGAAAGCCTGAACATTTTTGGTTAAAAAGTCAGCTAGGCTGAAGCCGGATTCCTTGACCTGCATCCACATCTCCACGGAGGCCTGGGATCCCGAAGATGCACTCCTCATTTTTAGGATCTGCAGTGGGGTTAGTTGAATCCACAGCTGCCAAGGGCGTGGCTTTAGGGCTTTGGCAAAGTCTCCAATATGCAACAACTTCCCCACATCTGAAGCCTAAGCCCCGGCTGTCATGTGAAGAACACCCCGTACTTCTAAGGAGTTTCGAAACTCCTACACCATCCCCAAACACAGACTCCGTTTCTCTTTTTGGGGTATAGGGGGTCGCTGTAGCCCTAAACCCTGAACCCTAAGCCCTAAACCCTGATACGGCGCATTGAACCGTGTATCCGTTTATGGTCACTGTCACTACTGTGGTCTTACCCACTAGTTGTGTTCTGACTAGCAAGAAGAGCCCCACCGCTGCCTCAAAGTCATGACTGAATACATGGATATGGATGCATCGTGGGACATCTGTCCCTTGGCCCTGAACCCCTAAACCCCCAAGAACCCCCCTAAACCCTAAACCCTAAACCCTAAACCCTAAACCCTAAACTCCAAACTCCAAACCCCAAAGCCCTAAAGTCCGAAAGGACGGAGGAGGGAGCTACCTATTCACAGCCTTGGCTTCCGTTCCAGAATAGATCCTCCAGCGTCCGCCCCTCAAAACCACGGCCGGGGTAGCGTTTTGGGTTTAGGGTTTAGGGTTTAGGGTTTAGGGTTTAGGCATGGATTGGTGTGTCATCAAAGCTTCCCCCCAACAAAAAATGGACATGCTCGGCCGAACGGGCCCTGTGTCGAAGAGCCCAAACCCTCATCTTGAAACCCACACCCCCAAAAGAAGCCCCAATGAGCCCCCAAGGCCCTGAGCCCAAACTCTGAGGCCTTTAAAAGAAGAAAGAAGCAACAACTCTGAACCTCAAGAGCCCCGCAACCCGCCTAAGCCCTAAAGCCCTACACCCTAAAGCCCTAAAGCCCTAAAGCCCTAGAAGCCTTAAGCCTTAAGAAACTGCCAGAGCCTCCCCTCAATGCTTAGATACCCCTTAAACAAAGGAATATGCCCGTAAATCATACTATTAAGGTCCCTATTAATTTAAGGTATGTTCTTTAATCCTTAAACCCTAAACCCTAAACCCCTAAACCCTTAACCCTAAACCCGAAACCCTTAATTAAGGGGTATTGGGCTCTCTGGGGAGGCCTCTCTCTACGAGATGGTGGCACCTGCCTGCCTCGTGCGGCCTGGCCCGGACGGAGCTTTCAGGGAGTCTGCCGGTTTTTTTGGTGGGGCTTTAGGGCTTGGGGGCTTTGGGGTTTCTAGGGTTTAGGGGTTCAGGGCTTTAGGGTTTGGGGCTTTGGGGTTTCTAGGGTTTTTTTTTGGGGGGGTTTCAGGGTTTAGGGTGTAGGGCTTGAGTTTATGATGTTCGGCCGGTTTTGGGAGTAGCGATGTAGGGTCACTTTGGGCTTTCCAGACTCAAGTATGCATGGCCAGCTGATCTATGCCGAATCTATGCCGTGGACGCCCTTATCATAATCACAAGAGTTGACCAACGCTCAACTAGGTGACACCGCCTACATCCAAAGCCTTGCCAAGGATTCTCTCACCTCTTCTGGCCGGCACCTTCTTCGGCGTCCAGGTCCTGCTTGCACGTGGGAAGGTTTTTGTCTTCAAACGGGGGTTCTGGGGGTCCAAAACGAGGGTTAATATAGGGGCCTCAATAATTATAGAATAGGGTTTGGAGTATATTATACCATAATTTTATAATGAGGAGCCCCCAAAACCCTATTCCAACTNNAACTATTAAGGCCCCCATATTAGGCTTTGGAGGTGCCTTCTATTGGGGTTCTTGCACGAAGCGTAGGGGCAAGATCCATGCCTTTGAGGGCTTCGGGAGACCGGGGGGGACCTTGGGCTTGGTGTGGATAGGGTCCTGTTTAGGGGTTTAGGCTTCAGGGGT